TTTACTGTTGATTAGACTGCGGAAGATCCGACAGTAGCTTGGAATCTCTTAAGCTGACCAAGCCCTCTCAGTCTAACTACCCGGCAGACGACTAGTCTTCACCGGGATAGAAAGCTGAGGCTATGAACACAGAACTCCACTACTGGCGTCAAGAACACCAGTACAAAGCAGTAAACTGGCTAACTCTCGTATAGCCAATCTCCTACTATCGAATGAAGAGGCTCTAACAACCTAATCAGATTCTATCTATCTCAGGTTGAAGCAGAAATTGAGACAAGCTGATCAGACTCAAATCAATTCATTAAACATGCGTCATTCGATTAAAATCAAACAGTAATATCATCCCAAGTCATTACAATCAAATCCCTAACACAAGGAACTAGGGTTCTTCATACCCAAGTGAGAGAAGGGTTCTACTCCATAGAGAGAGAAGAGAAAACAAGAATCGGATTAGTCATACTCATAACGATGAGGATAATCTGCTCTGGGACGATGGTTTCCACTCCTATGACGACCTCCAAGCTCGATTCGATGAAATCCAGCTCTAAGACAGCTTCTAGGGTGTGTTCTTCGCACTTTCTCTCTCTAGGGCTCTGTTTTTGCTCTCCAAACACGATTCTCTCACTTTTGGCTCGGAATAGGCTCTAAAACCAGGAATTCCCGACTCGCACGGCCAGGGTGCCCGTGCATGGCCTCGGCATAAAGCGCACGACCATATTGCTCACGTGCACGGTCGTGCGTCTCCCTGGTTTGCCAGTGCAGCTCCCCAAAAACCTCGCCATTCGTCCGTTCTTCGTCCAATCGACCCCAGACTCGCTCCTAAGCCTTCATTCACGTACTAGGACCTGAAATATCACAAACAAGCACAACCTAGCGTGAAATCGGCCTAAAACACGAGAATCAACACCTCAAACGGTGTAAGAACGGGGGTAAAAACATGTGTAAATGACGGTCTATCACCTTCCTTGCCACTCCTCTCTTTTCTCCCGAAGTTCCCTCTAGCATTGGCAATGAAACTCACTTATCTCCTTCATCGCTTGGCAATCCGCAATTTCATGATCAGTACTTGAACACCAATCACAAGACATCAGCGCTCTCTTACCTTGCTTCTTGTCCTCAAGGATCACCTCGATCAACTTGTCAAGCTTTCCTTCAAGTGGAACACTTTCTCCCACACTTCGCACTCCCCTTTCGGTGCTTCTGTTACCACTTCTTGTCAAGCCCCAATCATATCCTTTGAGAGCCATATCTTCGAGTATCTCGGTCACTTGAGGTGGAGTCATGTTCATCAACTTCCCTTGGTAAAGAGAGTTGATGAGAATCTTATCATCTTGGAGGAAGGAGTCGGAGAATCTTTCCCATGCATCCCTCAACGTCTCATCTTCCTCTTGCTCAAAGTGAGTGATCTTCTTCCTCCACTCAGCCGTCTTGGAAGGAGGACAATATCGGGTCATGAACATTTTGAGTAAATCGTCCCAAGAGGTGATGGATTGAGCCAGACGGTTGTTGAGCCATCGGAGCGCCTTCCCCGTAAGAGAATAGGGGAATAGCCTTAGTTGCAATGCCTCCTCGGGGAGGCCATTTATCTTCAGGCTTCCTGCAAGCTCAAGAAACCTTTGAACATGCTCTCGCGGTGATTCATTGGCAAGCCCGTGGAATAAGGCATTGTTTTGAATCATCGTCACGAGAGCAGGATTGATTTCAAAGTTGTTGGCGGCCACAAGTGGATGTAGGATGCGAGATTGCATATTTGCCGCCCGTAGATCCATGTAATAGCCCATAGTCCTTGGTTCTTCCTCGGCTCCCACTTCCTCATTTTGGTGTTGAAGCGGATTAGCACCTCGATCTAGATTCCCCGCCATCTCAACTTCAACATCTCCTTCAATTCCTTCAATTCCGGGACCAACTTGTTGTCCCCTCTCTTCCATTCTCCTTCTTGCTTCCGCTAACTCCCTCTCACGAGCCAAAAGCCGGAGAGTCCAGTTGATGTTCTCGTCTAGTGGTGTTAAAGGCGTCGGATTGCTCCGGATCATACACCTCCATGCACACACTTAAAGAACACAACACGTATAGCACAAGCACACTTCACACTTAGAAAAAATGAAAATAAAAACTAGATTAACACCAAACAATCTTTTCAAGATAACAGACCGAAGATTCCCCGGCAATGGCACCAAAAACTTGACTCGCTCCGACTATCACAATAAAATCCCACCTAAGGCCCGAGTATAAACCTTAGATGGGTGCAATATAGGGCAAGTAAATTTAAATATCAACCCGGGCCGACCCATGTACCGCTACTTCGATTGTTTGAAACATTATCTAGCAGAATGTTGTTTGTTGAAATCTCTACAATCAACTATTTAAAAGCAAGACTTGAAAAGTAAAAGGGTAGAAAACTCTTGGTGAGAAGCTTCACTCGGGTGTTGCTTCCCCCTAACTAACTACCATGAACCGTGGGATCGAATGACCCGGTGTGTGACAAGGCAATTGTGACTCGTAGGAGGCGCAACAATGGTCAGAAACCATCCTCTCAATTGCTAGGCCAAGGTAAGCATTAGAGGCTACAATTGTAGCCCTCTTGACACAAGCAATTGAGTGTTGACTTACCTTCTCCCTCAAACCAAGGCTTGGACGGCATAATCACAATTAACCTAGGTGTCTAATTCAAGTTAGAGGTTTGCCTTTCATTAACCTAGTTAGGAGGCATGAAATGCATAGGAAAACTAGCTCAATTTGAGCCTCTTAAGATAAGGGGTCTTCTCTCTAAGCTAGGTTAGAATAGCACAATATATTGTCAAGCATACACAATGCACAATCACCATGAAAAATACGTCAATTCTTAAATTAAACACCACCATTACAATCATTCAATCCACACAATCAATTACATGATAGTAGTTAGGGTTCTACAACACCCAAGTGAAAAGGGAAACTACTCCATGCTAGACAAAGGAAGAACACAAAAGAGGAAGAAAGGAACCATCATTGTGATGCCTCCAACTCTCCTTGTGCTTGTAGAGATCATCCAAAGAAGAGGAACTTCTAAAATCTTTACGTGGAGCAAACCCTAACATCTTCTCCCTCTTGGTTCGTGCTTTCTCTCTCTAGGGTTTAAAGATGAAGAAGGTTTCTCTCACTTTGGGCTCTCCCTTCTTCTTCCTTTCAGCTCTCTATTTATACTCAGATCGCGCCTAGTTCACGGCCCCAGTTCACGCCCGTGAACATCTGGCCACGTCCGTGAACTCTGATCAAAACGCACCGCTTTACTTCAGGGGTTCACGGTCCATTGCCCCAGTTCACGGTCTTAGCGAGCGTGAACTGCCTCAGTGTCAGTAACCTCTGAACTCCCTCCGGACGCTTCGCGGTTCACGGTTTGTGGTTCCACTTTACTGTCCTGGCGACCGTGAACTGCGGCTGAAAACTCCTCTTTGCCCAGTTTTCGCTCCTTTTCTTCCAACTTTCGACTTCGGTGTTGGTTTCAACTGTTGGACTCTGAAACATATTAAAACAACAAGAAACCTAGCGTAAAACCACCCTTTCTGGAGCTCAATTGCCACAAACGTCAAAGAAAAACGGGGATAAAATTTGTACATTTAGGCCTGAATCACCAGACCAGATAGAAAAGAACACACCATCGATGTTGGCTATAGGAGGCAGACTAGCAGTTCAAAACGAAACCCTAAGAGACTGTTTGTCCTCCTCGGAAACTCTCGATCGATATCCACAAAATTTTGTGGTGTCCTCTTGGTTATTTATCTAGATAATAGCTTGGCAGAGAGCCGGAGAGCCTAATACATATTTGAACTGCATAATTGTCGATTTTGCGGCGACTCGAGTCCATGCTCCCATAATGCATAATATAGCATATAATGAGGATATCACTACCAAATCCAAACTTGGAGCTCAAGGAAGCGAGGTTCAAGAAAGTGGGACGCAACTAAAACAAAGTTGACCAATAATGGATCTGCTCTAGTAGACAATTGGATCCTTAACAAGATCAATGGCAAGGAACTTTCTGCAAGCTCTGTTAGGTGTCATTCAAGCTCACTTTGATGCCAACACAACTACAAAATTGAGACCAAGACTATATGAATGTGATCCATTATACCAACCATAAGTCCAGCATAAAAGCCCCAAAGAAGAGTCAAATTCGTCCACCTTCTAGTGAGAACAAATATGACCACTTTTTGGACAATTTTTTCAACCAAAGGTGAATACAATGAAGACTAAGGTGGACAACATCAATGGGTACATCACCCCACCTAAATTTTGAAACATTAAACACATTAAAGCCATTCTTGAAGAAAGAAAGTTCATGCACTTAGCCAGAGTTATTCCACGAACCAATATGATTATTCAACACTCCAAAGTTATTTTTTTATGTATCTAGACTAGTAGGAGTTAGTTTTCTATCTTCCTTTCCGAGTCACTTGAGTAATATAAATAGCACTCTCACGCAGAACAAAAATTCATATAGAATTATCAAAGTATCAAATTGAGTGTTTTCAACTCTTTAGTGTTCTCTTATCATGTCTCTCTCTCGAAAACTTGGAGCGTCAAAAGCTTATCCATCTATGTAGCATAATTAGAGTATGGCGCTTTTCAATCTAGATATCTTAGCTCTTTGATGTGAATTTTATGCTATTTTTGACTCAACCTTAGATCGATCCTTCCACATTTCGGACATCCTTGTCTTTCACAAGATTTGGATCACATCAACTTATTTTCTATGTATTATGTTGTCCCCTCTTATAAAACACCCATTGCAAATCCTGAAACGATAGTAATCAACCGTTCTATTAAACTGATCGATTATTGCACAAATCGATCAACTATTTTCTTTGAATCATTTTAACTTATGAGTCACCATAACAAAGTTTAGTGAAATCTGCACAATTATTCAGACATCAGCATCATTCTGTTTCTGAAAAAACGTAAAGAAAAAACTAGACCCCACCAGCATCAGTCCAGCACCACCACTTTTATCAGTTTAATTGATTGGCACTGCGCCCCCTTTCTTCCGTTCTTCAACTCCTGCTACTTCCCACTGGATGTAGTGGAGGAAGAAGATCTCCCTTCCCCCATCCCCCTGTCCGGCGGCGCCCTTTGGTCCTTTCGTGGCGGCTGCTCCTTTAGCCCCGCCGCTTGCTTATCCGTTTCTTTTCCCCGGTGACTACACTATTCCTCTCCTCCCCGATTCATGCTTCCTTTTGCAACTTTCACTTCCCTCGTTTTCCGTCTTGTGTGAATTCTTCTGCTCTTATCTCTTCCGTTCTTATTTCTTCATCCCCTCCCCCAAACTTCTCTCTTTTATTTCGTAGTTGAAAACGAGTTGGTTGGTTGTTTATGCTCTCTTTGTTTCTGGTCAGTGTTATCGTTTTCTCAAATTAGTGGTGTCCTTAGTGGGTTGCTTGCCAGATCAAGGATTTCTTTCTTCTGGTCTCAAGCTTGCATTCAGTACTCAAGTTGCTGGTGGCATGATCGTATCGGTTGCTTTTATTCTGCAGGAGTTGTCGCATCGATAGGATTAGGATGCAAGGTAAATGACTTCAATCTTAGGAGGAAAGACTGGCCACGAATCCATGTTTCAGTCTTTCTACTACTTTACTTTCTTTGTGCAATCCAGTGGCATTTGCGCTTTGTCAAAATGGGTTGATATTTGAAAAGCTGTTATGGTATTGAGCTCTTTGTGGTAAAATTAGGCTTCAGTCTTGCCAACAATTCAATTTGATCCTTATTTGAACGGTTTTATCCTTGAGGGGACCTGCGGATTGCTTATTGTTGTGTTTGTTGCTAAACCATCTAGGCTCCGGCAGATGGCTGTTCCATTATAGCAGTGCAATGTGAACTTCCTCAATGTTTGTCAACTCTTTCAAAGACTTGTTATGTTAGGATGAAAATACGCCCTTCTTGTTTAGGCTTGCGGCGTTCCAACCACTTCTGCTTTCTATCTTGTTTCATGGGGGTATTCATGGGATATTAAATATCAGTAGCTTTTGCATTGCAGACATGGATATTATTCCTGGTCCAGGCTTGTTCCCGGCACATCGGTGCAAAACCATTCATGTGGTTGGTTTTTTATCTTCACTCTCTAATTATTTACTTCTTACATTGGTGGTATTAGGCACCTGCATAATTCATCCGAACGGTATCCAGGGCCTTCTTTTTTTTTTTTTTTTTGCCTTTTCCTTGCAAATCAAGCCATTTTGTTCTTATCAAAACGTGCATCCAGGTCAGGCATGCCCAGGGTGTACATAATGTGGAGGGAGATAAGAACTACAAAGCATACTTGTCCCCTGAGTACTTTGATGCGGAGCTTACTCCACTGGGATGGCAACAAGTATGGTCCCGATCTATATTTCAATTTGCTTTCTCAAGATAGTTTGGATGACTCAAAATTCCTGCTTGATAAGAAGTTTCCTAATCAGCAGTTATACGTGTTGTTATTCAGGTCGATAATTTGCGTAAACATGTAGTTGCCTCTGGCCTTCTGGAGAGGGTTGACCTGGTCATTACATCCCCATTAATGAGGTAAGAATACCTAGCTATATTTTGCTTCACAAGCAGCTTTTATATAAATTGTGATCCTCAACTGTTACCGATAGTCATTTCTACATTAGACTTTTTGTTGCTCAGTTCAGTATACTCACTGGGATCTAGTTGAGCCCAGTGATTCAACATGAAAATTCTTTCTCTATATGTTCTTGATCTTTATGTTACTATGCTCAGTAAGTTGCTTGATAAATTGGTTTGTTGACATTATTCAGAGCTTACCAACTCATAGAAAATTGGCTGCAGTATTCTATTGGCAAATGATATTTGCTCATTAACTTCGTTTTGGAAGCAAATTCTAGCTTACAATTCTGTTTCAACAACTTACTATTTCTGATTGCTGTGATTTGCAGGACATTACAAACAGCTGTTGGAGTTTTTGGTGGTGGCAGCTACACAGATAGGGTAGATGGGTTACCTCTTATGGTAGCAAATGCTGGAAACAGTGGTCGTGGTGCTATTTCAAGTTTCAATTCCCCTCCAATCATTGCAGCAGAGCTATGTCGTGAACATTTTGTATGACCTTCATAATATCTATTTTTTTTCTCCAGCAACAGGTTCTTCATGTCACGTCCATTCTTGAACTGCATCATGTCCTTGATTCTGTGTAGTCGGGCTATAAACCTAGGGAATCTAAATTTTGGCACTACAGATAAAATGGCATCTAAATAGTTGAAAAATGCTTCTGTCTGTGAGCTATGAATTTTGGCTGCTTGGTTTGTCAAGGACTATGTGTTGGGTTCTTAACGTCAAACCCACCTATATGAAACCTAATGCTTTGCTTTTGTGCTTGTTGGTTCCAGGGTGTGCATCCTTGCGATCAGAGGAGAAGCATCAGTGACTATCAGTTTCTCTTTCCTGCAATTGATTTTTCATTGGCAAGTCAAGAGATTCTACTCTATTAGAATAATTATGAAACTAGTTTGCCTTTTTACTTTTAAGTGGCTGAATTTAGCAAATTACATGGATACATATTCTTAGAGTCAGTTAATGATCTGTAATTCCTACAGATTGAAACAGATGAAGACACAGTATGGAAAGCTGATGTGAGAGAGACGACCGAAGAACTTGCAGCCAGAGGACTAAAGTTCTTGAAATGGTTAGCACTTTGCATATTTAGACACCATTCTTTGTTGTTTATTCTTGATGCACATATAAGGTAAACTCCTAAGATGTACCCCTTTTTTGGGCTTTTCGTTGCGAGGAACTATGAGTGTAGACTGATTGGGGGTTCTCTTGCTGTTCATCACTTTCCTATTCAAGAAGTTGTGCCTTCTCTATTTTCATTTTTCTGTTTCACATGCTGCTATTGTGACCTAGTTTTGGACCTGCTGTTGACACAGGTTATGGACAAGAACTGAGAAGGAGATAGCAATAGTTACCCATAGTGGATTTTTGTTCCATACCTTGAATGCGTTTGGGAGTGACTGTCATCCATTGGTTAAAAAGGAAATATGCAAGCGGTGAGTGTTGCTTGCTCATGGCTTTCGGTTTAGCTGTAAGATATTCGCTTTATGCATTTTCAGCATTACATTATGAAATCTAGTAAGTCATCAATATACCTCAGAACATCGCATGTGTTACCGCTATGGACTATAGCCCATCTTGTTTTGTGGTGCACAACCTCGTTGCTTTACATTTGATGTTTTTATGTTGTGCTTCTACGATGACCATGTCCTTGCTTTGAACCTGCAGCTTTTCAAATTGTGAATTGCGTTCGATGGTCATCGTTGACAGAGGGTGAGAAGGACTGATCATCTTTTTATTAGATTTTCCAGTGTTGCCTTTCTATGTATTTTCTTACTTTATTCTCAAATTTATTTCTTTTATTGTGTTCGGACCAGTATGATGGGATCAGACTCCTCCACAACCAACTATCCCGGAAAGATTCCCAGTGGCCCTGATCTCCCTAGCGATCCAGGTTCCTGATAATGTGCAGAAACAAATTCTTGGATGCTGTGATCAAAAGATGGGATTTGCAACTGTTTTGCAAGCAACTAGTTAATGTATTCAACTAGGTACCCAACTTGGCGGGACTAGGAGGGGCTGTATCTGGGAGGGATGTTTCTTATTTTTATAACTGAACCACTTTCTGAAAAGCTGTTTCACAATCAGGTACATTATCTTGTTACTATCCTTGCTTCTAACCAGAAGCAGGAAATGCAATTTGGCTGAATCATCTCTCTTTTGCACAGTAAGTAGGTGCTTGTATAATGCGTGCCCGCCAAGCCCCAAAATCATAGGCTTTCCAGACAGGGTAGGTTTATTTGTAAAACAATAATACATGTTGAGTTTCCTCACAAATTTGATGCCTTGAAATTGGTAAACAACCATCTTTCAACATTTTTAGCCACACTAGTCTTTTTGGCCTTCTTAAAAAATCTCAATTTGGCTTCAAAACATCGCAAAACAGGACTGGCTTCTTCTTCTCTGCAAATAGTTGCTGCAACGACAGAGAACAACACAATAAGCTTAGGCCTTTGTTTTCTTATTAAGGGGAAGCGTGGATGAGTGTCGTTTTACCTCTATTGCAAAAGCTAAGTGCAGGATAGTTGCTTCAGCCCATGGACGTCCAATCAGCTGCAACCCTATTGGAAGCCCTTGTTTATCATAACCAACCTGAAAACATGGAGAAACCAAAAAGCACGGCAAACGAGCCAGGCTTAAGTCTCTCGTCAGACAATGCCATGATTAACATACCGAACATGTTCAGCAAGCTGAAAGTTCCGTTCTCAATAGTCAATATCCTAACATTAGTGAAGAAAAATGGAGAAATGAAAGTCAAAAGATGAGACATATATGCTTGAGTCCACCTTCCCAGAAAGCCAACATACTCTTCTTAATTGGAAATAGAGATAGTGTGTTCTATGAAGGAAAGACCCACTCAACTTACCGGAACAGAAATTGCAGGGAAACCGAGAAGATTTGGGCCTATAACAAACCGCATGAGATAAGCTGGACAAAAGAACGAATGCATCAGTCGAAGCAGGAAGACTAGAACTTGCAATAGATGCCAGCACATTGTTTAAGATACAAAAACACAGAAAGGTAAACCAGTTCCTGGAAACTGAAGGAAAAAAATTGAAGTTGAAGAACATATTTGGGGAACATTTTTGTTGGGGCTTTGGTTTAGGCAAACTCACAGTTGAGGGGCCATTTTGTTCATTAACTCATTCCAAATATTTATAGACAGAAAGAAAGCTTTTTGACTGGCGTGTTAATGGACAAACCTGTGACCTGCATATTTGTTTCCCCATATTTAAGAGCACTAGGAGGTATCACGGGAGCTGTCATGCTGTTTTGGCAAAATGAGAAGGAACACAAGAGATAGGAGTTAAATAAACAAGCTTTTCCTAGTCCAGAAAGGAGCACATGGTCACCCTCTATGACAACAAATTTCAAGGATTGACAGTAAGAAAGACCACAAAGACGAAAGAGGAAAACATTTACACGCACCCAGTTGTTGGGGTCACTATCACGTCAACCTTTTTGAAAGCCTCCAAGTAATGGTGCATTGATCTCCGTCTGCAAATTGGATCAGTATTCACCAGGATATGAATTCATCTACACCTTTTGACACTAATTCAATGCAAGAACCTCCTAAAAGTGAATTCCTCGGATGAATGCAATAGACAGGTTATCCATTAACACCTCACCTCAGTCGCTGAGAAGTAATATAATCAGAGGCACTAAATGATTGAAATAGTGCAACATTAGTCCGGCTATCATATGTCAACAACTTCCCTTTCCTGCAAGGATAATACACAACACATATGAATGAATGCACAGGTTAATACGACTTACAAAGCTGGACAGACTAGTTATATACTTGTAACCATTCAGATCAAGGAAACTCGATCTATTCCACACAGAACGCAAGAGAAGCCATACCCATCCTCAATATCAGCTGCTAATGAAGATTGGAAATCAGCTCCTATAGACACAATATGAGCGGTGCGCATCTCCTCCAACTCAGGTATAACAATCTCCACCACCTTTATCCATATTAGCACCATTAAGTTGTAGCACAACACATTGCTATTTTCTTGGGAGTAAGAAGAGATACATTTTGGGGAATGAACGGTACCTCACACCCATGTGTTCTTGACAGAAGATTAAGAACATCCTCACACTTGTCAGAGACATCAGTTGAATGCACATCATTAAACCACTGCAATTAATAGCATTACTCTTAAAAATGTAACTGGGTTGATTGCTTGTTTTAAACACTTATAAAAAGATAAAGAAGTTTCTAATCACCGCTGTGTATTTTCCTAAACGCATTGACCCCAGAGCACCTATAGCTTCATGGGATGATAAATCTGGCAAACAAGGTGCGGCCTGCAAAAAGCATAAGCACCATCACATGACTAAGATGCAACATGAAATATGCAGGGCTGAAACTATCTTAAGGCAAAAATAAAAAATAAGAAATTTGGTATCATTACCAAATGGCTCAAAGGCATCAAAACCATTTTTAGGGCTAGTATGAGCAAGGAAAGTTTTGATAAGCCTAATATCCAAGATTAGCAGGTAACCCAATAAATACCTAGATTTAGAGCTTTTCTGGCCCTAAACGAGCTTCAAGAAGAGAGCTTTTACAGGAGAACCTCATATGGAACTTCAACTTTGATATGTACCAGCTTGCTTATGTCAAGTTGTCAATATATTATAATTACTCTTGAATACAGTGTTTGAGTTGATTTCTGACTGCTGAAATGGGGAAGCACTTGCGGATCTAATCAAACTCTAATAGAAGAGTCAAAAGATGCATTTCTATTCTAGTTCCTCAGCATTTGACTATCAATACATATATATATATATATATATATATATATATATATATATATATATATATATATATTGGTTTAGTAACGACTGCAGCCTCAATTCGCTGCTATGGAAGGAAACACAAATTACCAGTTGCAGCTTTGGGCACATAAAATGAGTTCTCCGAAACTTACAGGTCTGACGGTGATTCTGTCTGAAACAGAGGATCCCAATATTGCCGCATAACTGATAATCAGCATAATGCAGATAATTCAGTTTTTTTCAAACTTGTTTCAGTTCAAGGTCAATTCATTCATGGAGATTCCACAAATAGCAATGTAAAGAAAAGAAAACTAATTATTGTAACCACCTAGATGCTTATCTTATTTTTTAGTAGTATCTTTGTTCCTATACATGCATGCATGCACAAATAATCAATTTAAAGTACCTAACCAGTAATTCATAGAAGACCCAAGGTTACAAATATTTTAGTGCTTTCAAAGTGAAAGCATTACTCATAATTTATAACACCACAGCACTAATGAATTGGAAATGCATAATCCTGAAGTACAAACTTCTATTAAAGCCTGTGGTTCAATTTGCAAGCATTGCAATATATCCACTAGCTAGCTGAAATACTCACACTATGACGGAATCCTCAACACAAGACGTAATTGGTCCAAGAATTGTAACACCACCACCATCACAAATTGAACTGCATGAGATAGCACAAGAAGTGTAAGTCAAATATGAATCAAGACTCAACTCCCAAACTTTTGAGGCCAATTGACACAACACTATTATTTTTTTTATAAGGGTGATTGTTGACCATATGGTATGGTGTGAACAACCCTATCGTATCAACTTTCTATTCCCATTAACAAACAAATGGTTACCGAGAAACAAAACCATAAAGCTGAGACATTTATAAGACAATAAGACAACAGTCCAAAGTCATATACCCTCCCATATCCGTCCGTCCATGTGTTGTTTTCAAGCCTACTACCCCACAGAGGGAAGAAGGGATCCTCACCGAGCCTGGCTCAATAAAATTTGAACATGAATTTAAGATTCAGAAGATTCACAGTGGAAAGTCGGACCATGATATATATGAAAAAAATATCAGCACAACCTCCTCCATCAGATCCCAAAGCAGCAGCGCATATTCCAGAAGCCACAATTGCAGCAGGACCTGACGACGATCCACCTGTGTACCTATCTGGAGCATGGGGGTTTCTCACAGTTCTGAAAATCAATATAGTTGTTCAGTGAAAAGAGCTCAACGCATAAACGAGCTCCATAACGAACAGGGTGAGTTGGGCAACTAGGATCCAGTCTAAACTCAGTGCATAAAAGGAACAGAAACTGCAACTGGGCAATTGAACTAACCCATAATTTGAATTGTTTCCAGTTGTTCCCATTCCTAGTTCATGCATATTTGCCTTCCCCACAAGTATTGCACCACAGTTACGCAACCTAGAAACACAGACTGCATCCCTTTTCACAGAACGAACCTTGTGCAACCAAGTTGTTCCACCTGCCAAGTATCATTGGAAATTGTTAATCGGTTAACCAGCAATACTGTTTGTCAGTTCATATGGAGTAAAGAAAGAGGCAATATGTACCATTAGTGGGGTATGGATAGCAATCTATGTCATCCTTAATTGCAATGAAGATGCCATCCAAGATGGATATAGGATTTCCTATACAAGAAGACCCGATTGCAAAGAGACAATCCTATGAGATATAACAAAGCACCTGTACATAGACAACAGTAATATAGCTCATTGAATACTATCTACAGTACCTTCCTCAAACCTTTGTGTGGAAGTTGCAGCTTGTTTTCTAACTTCATCAGCATCAAAGGAAATCAATAATGGTTGATGGGGTTCACTTTTAGCCGCCTCCTCTATAGCTGCGATGACATGTTCTGCAGCCTATAAGATAGAAAAGTCAGATCTTCTCTGTGGTAGTATTGGCTAAGCATGAAACCAAACGTCTGAAAGCTATTCTAACTCACAACAGAAGGGGTTATCAGCTTGGAACGATAAGCATGCGCGTAATCACGAATCTTCCAGTGCCTAAATGGTGTAGTTGAGTCTGCATTCCAGCAGGTTGCAGGATCATAGCGAGGAAGAGATTTCAAAGCTGACTCAACTCGTTCTTCTGGTTTTCCATCTTCCTCCAAGAGAAGAACACAACTCTCTGGCCCTGTGCTTGGATTACAATCGAATTTGTAAATATTTGGAGAGTCTGATTTATTTGATCAACATTCATTCAACCTCTATATTTTTCTAAACCTATCTTTATGTGAGAAATATGGAACAAGATTGAAGTAAACAGTCTCCCCCAGTCCTAATGCAAAATTAAAAAATGTTCTTTCTAATTATTTTACAATTATCAACATACAGGACCAGGAAAGGAAGAAAACTTGGACAAGAAATCTGAAAAGTGTGTCTTTATGTAATCCGGATTAGTTGGAGATGTTTGTAGATGCATGTGACTGCTTAAGAGCGTGCATGAACGAATGAATACACGAGACAAGAACTTGCAGCATAGTCCGAAGATTAATACCCACAATTTGAAACATCTTAAATCATCAGGTTCCATTGCAAGATAGTAATCAATGTAAAAACCCACTTATAAGAGATAGAAAAAAAGTATATTAAGGGACCTTGAGGGGGAAATTCTGGTACGAACATGGGCGGTTCTGGTACCTCAGTACATCGCAACATCTGATAACCAACATTATGTGTTTTGTTAGTGGATTATGATCCTGATCAATACTCAGCTACAAAGAAAAGAAGGGGAAAAAGCAAAGAAGTTGAGAAGGTTGGGGGTAACCTCAATCATCTTATTCTCCTTCTTCAAGTGAGATATGACCAAAGGACCAATAAGCGGAGACTCCAGTAGCTTTATGAAGAACCTAAACACATTCCCCGTCAAATGTGGAGCTGTTGATCCATTTTTAATTCAAACAATGATCAGTACCATTTCTGCATTGCACTTGCTCGTATTATATTGAAAATTGAAGATTGAAAATGGCAACCTTGTACAACTTGAGGCTCATACTTCACAGTCGTTAAATCGATTTGTTCAAGAGGAACCATCACCTTCTTCTTTCCCATATCTGCCATCCGAAAGCAAAAAAACGAAGCAGATTGTACAACTTGATAACTAGCAGAGAACCGGATACAGAGAAATAGAAGCCACCCAAACAGTCTCCAAACTAACAGAGGACAACAATCAAAACACTTTGATGTCAAAGAAGCAGGATTCACAGAATGTCAGTTGGCGGAATTCAAGGATGAAATAATGAACTCCATGAAAAGAAAGATCGTACAGGAAAAGGAAACGTACCTCCACAAAATTACAACAAAAAAAGACGCCCAGAATGGTAGAGGGGAGAATGGAGGTTGGAGAAAAACGGTTTTGCTTTGTGGTTTTGAGGACTGGGTCAGGGCAGTTTCAGCAGCCGAGGCTCTGTGAGAGCGAGAGTCAAATTTCTGGTTTCTTGTTGGGTGGTTGATGGTGAGTGATGACAGACAGATACAGTAATGAATTACTAAATAGAATAATGATAAGAGTAATGGAGCAAGAGAAAAGGAAAGGAGGCAACTAGCCAGGGTCAAGGAGGGAAGTGGATACGTCTATGGTGCGGACGGTGCAATTTTTGAAGGGAATCGATAAAAACATCGTTTTAAAATTACTAACGGTAAAATATAGGGTTAATATTCTTGTTTGGCTCGAACTATTCTCGTCTATAACATGTTGGTCAATTTTTTCAATATAGAACATCGTTGTCTAAACTAATCTAAACTATATTTAATTGACCAAACCCAAAAGTTTACTGTTATTTTGGATGGTCAAAACAGTTGACTAACGGTTCTCTCTAGTCAACGGTTCCCTCTAGTCAACTTAAATAAACTTAAAAATTCTGAAATTCCATAATTTTTAATGATTATAATTAAAATTAAAACAAAAAATAAATATTGCAAAAAGCTTTTGATTCTGTAAATTGTGGGACTATCTGTTTTGGGTGATGGAAGTGATGCAGTTTCCTACAAAGTATATAAAGTGGATTAGAGTCTGCCTTTCTACAGCGTTTTTCACTGTCAGCCTCTATGGCTCTTTATTTGGATTCTTTAGTGCAAAAAGGGTGTAAGTTAGGGGGATCCGTTGTTCCCCTACTTATTCATCTTGGCTTTAGAACCTCTGTTTGGTTTGATTGATCAAGAAGCTCTGAATGGAAGCTTGCTGACTTGTTCCTAACTACACAAATAAAATCCCGACTAGAACCCAAGTATAAACTCTAGTAGGGTGTAGTATATGACAAGTGTTATAAGATGTCTTAGAGACTACTATCATGGTGAAGAGATGATAGGATTGAGAGTATGAGCATGCACATCTTTTGCATCAAATTGACCTAACCCCATTGGTCAAGAGTGAGTGATTGATTTCCATATACTATTTATCCGGGTGAGGACCTAGATTGCTCAGTCTCCAATTCTAGTAACTTAAATTTTATGCATGGTTAAATGTGGTGTGTAGGTGGTCGAGTCATGTCATGTTTTGGTCTCAGAATAGAGGGAAGATTCTTCATCTCATGATTTTGCTGCAGTCGACTGTCATCTGTGAGAGTTGTCAAGGTTCCTGTTGCTCATGTGTTGGTGCTAAATGGTTTTTGCAATTCTTATGTTTTGTACCTCTATGATATGTCCCAAAAGTTTGCATGGTTAAAATGTTTTGATCGTACCTTGTGTCTGACTTGGTTTGCTTGGGGACAAGATTAGCATTAGAGAGACGAAGACTTCAATAGTTTATGGACAAGTTTAGTATTCTAGGTGCATGGTCAAGTTGGGAAACGTCAAATCATGTAGGAGCATTTATATGTCACAACAAGATTTAAGGGGTGATTCGAGATCAATACCACATAGAAATTCAAGTTTGAATCTTCTTCAAGAGAGAGGGAATGATGCAATCATGCTAACCCCTCACGATCAAAATCGAGGTCAAAGAATCTCTTAACATGGACCATGGTCCAAGAGACCTAAGAGGTTTAAAGAGAGCTTGGGAGCATTCACAATGGGTGAAATGGTTGTACAAGCAAAGACTACGGGTTTGTTGATGAGAAATGGATTAGCAAGGTATTCAGATCTCACGATCCAAGAATGAAGGTTGGAGTTTGGAGATATATGACTCGTTCTAACTACAACATCCCGATCGATGGCCAAGTATAACCGCCGATCGGGTGTAGCATAGGGCAAGCAAGCAATAAGAATTTATCGTACCACGGGGATCTAGGCTTATCCTACTTCAGGTTTAGGGTTCATTATCTAGCCAACCTAGGATGGTGATTAGAAGAATTAAACTAACTAACATAGCTAACCACTAATCTAGCTATTTACAAGGTGGGGAGCTCTCTTTGGTTGAATCGTCCTAGGTCCATTCTTTGGATCGAAGTTGGGTATCCTCCTAGCTCGATTGACTCAACTACACTACCGTTTGGTGATGGACTCCCTAAGACCGTGAACTTGGACCAAAAACCGTGAACATCGAGCTGTCCAGTGGGGTTCCAGAAGTTACTGACGACAAGGCAGTTCATGGTCTCTAAGACCGTGCCCTGGGGTCATTGACCGTGAACCCAGGACTGTGAAGCAGTGTGTTTTGGACGACGCTGAGGTCACGGACGCGTTTAGGTGTTCACGGCCGTGAATTGGCCAATGTGTCCGTGAACTGATCGCTTTCGGGCAAATATGAAGACAACAGCGGGGAGAGAGAAAGGAGAGCTGGTTTTGGGGAGAAGAAACACTTTCTTTCTCTAGGGTTTCAACCTAAACACCAAAGGGGAGTTCTAGTGAGAGAGAGAGAGAGAGAGAGAGTGCTAGAGTGATCTTGCAGCATCATTGGAGGCTTGGGTGGAAGGTTCAAGGCTAGGAGGAGAAGAAGAAGAAGATCTTGAGCTCAAATTTGTAATCCCTCTCTTTCTCTCTCTCTCTCTCTAGAAACTCACTCTTTTCTCTTGGGTGTTGTAGATCCCTAACTAATACTTTGTAATTACTTGTTTAGATTGAATGATTAATTGTGGGTTTGCATCAATTTGAGTATTAGAGGTGTTTTCATGGTGATTGTGTATGCTTGTGCTTAGCAATCTAAGGGTTGTGCATAATTGTGCTTAACACCCTTAGATTTGTGCATGTTGGTGCTAGCAATCTAATTAGCCAACTTAGCCTAGCTTAGAGAGGAAAATCCCCCTTCCAAGGGAGACTCAATCGAGTTGGTTTTCCTTCCGCTTTCTAAGCCACCTAAACTAGGTTAAGTTAGGGCAACCCTCAATATTGAGTTAAGCAAGTCGGTTAATCGTGATTAAGACGTTTGACCTTAGAGTTGAGTGAGGGAGTAAGTCAACTACCGATTGTCTAAACCGAGAGGGTCGAGTGACACAGCCTCTCATGCTTATCTCAGTTTAGCAATTGAGATTGTGCTCTCTGACACATATGCATCCCTCTACGATTCGCGGTTACTAGTTTGCATCTAGGTTAGTTGTGATTAAGTCGCTCAAACTCCGGTTTGAGGGAGAGACCTAGGCAACCACTAGTGACCGAGCGAGAGGATCGTTCCCATGACAAATCGACCTCCAGTGAATCCATCCCGTGACCAATGGATCACTAGTTGCTCCTCCTAGTGGTTCCCCTAGACTTGATGAGTGGATCCATCCCGTGACAAATCGATCGCTAGTGAATTGATTCCGTGACAGATTGATCACTAGTTGCTCACCCCCGTGGTTCACAACTACCTACGCCTCACGACTTCATTCAATCCAACAAGTCATGGTAGCTAGTTAGGGGGAAGCAATTCCTGGGTGAAGCTCCCTTAGTTAGACTTTTCCTTTATTTATTTTTCCTTGCTAGTTTAATTTATAGTTTTCTTAGTTTTAAAACCCAAAGTCGTTTTGCTAGATAATAACTTAAGCGATTGAAATAGGGGTACATGGACCGGCCCGGGTTGACAATTTAAATACTTGCTCTATACTGCACCCGACTAGAGTTTAAAAACTTGGACTCTAGTCGGGATTAATTTGTGGTGTAGTTTCGTGCAAGTCACTACCCCCCACACTTAAGCTCGAAATTGCCCTCAATGGCGTAAAAGGAGGTAGAACGATGTTACCGGATAGGGGTGAATGTTGGTGTTCCGGAGCGGAGGGCGGGTGAGATCCGGAAAAGCAAGGAGGCGGCAAAACAAAAGGTCGACTTATTGAAGCCAAAAGGAAACAAACCGATGGTGGTTGGGTTGCCTCCCAACAATTGCTTCTTTAACGTCGTGAGCCGGACGGTTGCTCCTCAAGTTTCGATCCACCCAAGAACCTCCTTGAAGTTGAGGTGTATCTCTAACGGTTCGATGATGGGCAATCCCTTCATCATTGCAAAATTCGTTGAACTCATAGCTGCAGAACTCTAGACCATTGTCCATTCGCAGCTTCTTGATCTTCTTACCGGTCAAATTCTCCACCAATGTCTTCCGTTGGTTGAACTTCGTGAAAGCATCCCTTTTATGCTTCATAATGAAAATCCAAGTAAACCTCGAATAATAATCAATGATTGACAAAAAATACCTGCTCCCTCCAATGGATTCAACTCGTGAAGGACCCCAACAGTCAGAGTGGAGGTAATCCAGTATCCTCTTGGTCCGGTAGATACCCTTGGGAAACTTGCTGCGATGTAGCTTCTCAAACACACAATGCTCACATATTACCAAATTCTGCACCTTTTGCCTGCAAAGAAGATCCCTCTTCGATAGAACTTTCATCCCCCGTTCACTCATATGAACTAGTCTCATGTGCCAGAGAGTGGTCATATCTTCTTGATGAACCTAAGACGATGCAAATGCAGCAGAACCTAACAACAAATTTCCTTGTAATGCATACAAGGTACCACGTTTCACGCCTTTCAGTACCTTCCTCGAACCCTTGCGAAGATACACGACTCCACCTTTTCCTTTGAAATTGAAATCCTTGTTATCGAGCAGACTCAAGGAGATCAGGTTCTTTGTCATTCGTAGAACATGCCTGACATCATTCACGGTACAGAACGAACCATCATGTGTCCGAACCCTTATGGACCCGATTCCAACAACCTTGCAGACAACTCCATTTACCATGAATACATTACCACCATCTATCTACTTGTAGGTTGTGAAGAAATCCCTGTTCGGAGACATATGGTATGAGGCTGCAGTACCTAGTAACCACACATCACCACGATGTGCCTTCTCATCTACAGCCAAGGCGAGATCGTCTTCAGAACTGTTGTCCACTTCTGCCACGACAATTGAACCTCGGTTCTTCTGTTGCCCTCTTCTCCTGGGACAGTTTTACTTCCAATGCCCCCAATTCCTTACTTGTGACAAGCATCACCTGGATGTGGACTGGGACCTTTGAAATTCTTGTTCGAATTCCCTTTACCAGATTTCTTCTTTCCCTTTCCACATATAACAGCCAACCCCGATGCTTCATCACCTGTACCAGATCCGGACGCCTTATGTCTGATCTCTCTCGTG